CACACCCAGCTGTGGGAGCAGCTAGCAACAGTAGATTCGCTATTGAGGCTTGCACTTCTCCAAAGTCTTCACATACAGATCAGTGGAGATGGTTGCTGGTTTGCCCTTGACGGGCTTCTTGATCGCTACAAAGCCCTTGGCGCCAACTTCCCGACGAGACTGCATCACGTGGCCCAACCAAACATCCAGCCGATTCTTCGTGAAGCTCTGTTGGCTGAGAAAGTGCCTCTTTTTCGAGACCTTGGTGGAACTTGTCTTGTATCTGCGCACTTAGGTTGGAGGCCATCGCTACTAGGTTGGAGGCCATTGCTATTCTGATTGATACTGCTATGCTCTGCAACAAACTTTGAGCCACCGGCATATCGACCCCTTTTGTTCCTTGGACCAAGGAGCTTGACTGAGCTCGGTCCACAAACATGCAAGGCAACTGAATCAACCTTAGCCTCACACTGAATGATGTCCTGTTTGGTAAGCCCTCCAGATGTTCTGGCCGGAGCATTTGCAAAAAAGTGTAGAATGGTCACCACTCGCGTTCTCAAGGGTTTGTTGGTTGAGGCCTTATGTATATACTTAGTGATTACACGAAAGTAGTCCCATGGAACCTAGCAGTGCAGGTAGACACTGCACAAAGAGGATCCAGCCAGCCATAAGTTATCAACCTAAGTTCTCGGAGCTGCAGCTGCAATGGTGGGTCGAGTCTTTGTGGGCTAAAGCAGTCTATAGTCAGGGCACATCAAGTGCAAAAAGGGGCATCTATATAAGAAATGCGAACCTGCAAAAGCCTGCGAAAATCTGCATGTCCAACTCAGCCAATGGGAAGTCTGCCGGTCAACCTTAAGGAACTCACCAGTCAACCTCCCATTGCCTCACAACGGACATTGGCACCCGAATTGCGAATCCGGTGCAATGCGAATGCCCACAGCTTCATCTCAATACAACTTATCCTAAAGATGTTCACCTGGATGGGAACAAAGGCCTGTCACTGGAGGCGGTGTGAAGACTGTCCTGCATCTCTTGCTCTTGAACTCAATTTCTAGCCGCGGGGGATATTCTGCTGGTGATGGTTGAGGTGGTGTTGCTGCTGGTGGCCCAGCCGTTTACTTGCATTCAGTGCAACTCACAGTTGGAGTGTGCATGAGTAGCTATGCAGTTGTGCTGTGTTGAAGTTTTCTTCTCGCAAAGTCAGCCAAAGCAGCTGACCCGGGCGTGCACCCTGCAAGCGAGCCTAGTAACAATCATGGCTCTACTGCAACATCTCATGCCATACCGCACGCAAGAGTGCCTTCCTGCTCAGGAGAACAGGAGAACGTGCTTGTTGCAAGTTGCACAAAGATAGTGTGTTTTTTTGCTGCGGCAGACTCTGTGGGGCTGCAATTTGCTGGAACATCGACAAGACCAACAGAGCTCGTGGAGTGCCAGACCGCAGCGGCGCTGTGCGGCTGCGCGGTGTTGGGTGAAGCATCTTGTTCAATTGAAATGTTCTTCTGAGGACTAGCAGCTAGCAACAGCTAGCAAGGAAAAAGGCATAAAAAGGCGAACCAAATGTCCATTCCCAAAAAAGTGAGCCGAAGACAACGAGCGTCAGCAAACCAGACTAGATGAGATTCCCCTACAACCAAATAATCAGCAAAAACAACGAGGAATATGATGTTTAAATGCCGTAGACTAGCCCAGCCAAGATTATGAATTGCACTGATGGCAAAGCCTTCACAAACCGATGTGCTCAGCATGTGCCCACGCGCAAGCAAGTTCAGACCTCAACCCCTGCCGACTCACCTGCAGGGAAAACACAAAACTTTGCCAGCAAAGATCCAAATGGTAAAAAACATGTTGCGTGTAGCACCATAGCAGCAGCACCCGCACGCAGGCTCCCAAGCGCACGCTGCCATAAGCATCTGGCAGCATTCTGCAGCGCCCAGCACCCAGACTCCAAACCGCACACAGGCACCTCTTCCTATACTTGAAGTAAGAACCCCAATAGCTCTCGCTATCTGGTGAAAAGCAGCAACACAATTCTTTCACAACATCGATGCCGTCGCCTTGTGGAGCTCCTTTTACTGTGCACGGTTTTTTTACTGTGCTCCTTGTGCACTTATTTTACTGTGCACGGTTTACTTGTGGTTTCTCCTATCCCTAGGCCCTAGGCTGTGATCGCCATCGCTTGGCTCCGATGAAAGATGTCCCCGCCCACTGGCAAACATGACGGGAGGACTTTTTCTTTCGCCCGGTGGCGACCAGCCGATAGGCGTGCGCCACGCCTCTCTTCCAGTCCTACGGCCACGGTGTCATCGTCACTATGTAAAACGCCGATGGCCCAGCACTGGACTGGTCCCATGTCCTTTGGTCTGGCAATTTGCGAAGTCTTCTTCCTGGCAGAGACAGCTGGTGGTTTGAGGAAAAACGATCCTCCAACAACTCCAACCCTGGGTAAAGAACCTCTTTCCTTTTCTCTCCGAAGTCAAAAGCCTGTGACTGGAGTGACTAGTGCACCGAATCTGGCTCTTGCTTCAGAAAAAATAGAACCTTCCTTCAAGATAGGCATCAATTTGGGTGGGTACAAGCCTTTGACATTGACCGATTGTACAGCATGGCAAAGTTTGAGTGAGTTCAGTGCAATAATCAAGAAACTATCCCTCAAACATATCCCCAACAAAGCTAGCTAGCAGTTTAGGCAGAGGGGCATCAAAACGCCTGCACTTTTTGGAATGTTTACCAATCCTGACTGGCGGCTGGCGGTTGAACATTGTTCCACCCCATGCACGGTTTGTTTTGCATCGCCCTCTCTAACAAAATTGAGCACATATTCCACGAACCGCCTTCGTGCAATGGCTTTGCGCTTCAACTTCTGCCTTGGCACCCACAGCAGGTTTTCGAGCAGGACCGACTGCACCTGCTGCACCTACCACCATTGCTGCACCTACCTGAGATTGAGGTTTGGACTCTGCTGCTTCAGCAACCTGGTCTCCGATGCCATGAAACAAAGGTTATCTTCCTTTTCCAAACACGTGTTACATTCAGCATAAAGTCACAATATCATATAATATCCACTTCAAATTAAACAGATAAAAACAAAATGGAACCCACGAACCCGAATGCACACACGCACTCGAAAACAAACGGTCAAACATTGTTTGCCACCCTTGTGGGACACTTTTGTAGGAGACGCTCTTGTAAAACACTCTTGTGGAACAATCTTGCGCGCGACACTCTTGCGGGGCACTCCTGCGGGACACTCTTCTAGGACACTCTTGTGCGACACTCTTGTAAGACACTCTGGTGGAAACCTGTTCTGGGCACTCTCGTGCGACACTCTTGCGGAACTCTCTTGCGGGACACTCTTGTGCGACACTCTCGTGGGACACTCTTGTGGGACACTCTTGTGGAAAACTTTGGTGCAACATTGTAGTAGGACACTCTTGTAGGAGACGCCTTGTAAGAACACTCTTGTGGGACACTCTTGTGCGAGACTCTTGCATGGCGCTCTTGTGGAAAACTCTTGTGGAACACTCTTGTGGGGCACTCTTGTAGGAAACTCTTGTGGGACAGTCTTGCGACACTCTTGCGGCACGGTCTTGTAAGACACTCTTGTGAGGCACTTATGGGACACTCTTGTGGGATGTGGGGGGGTTCTTGTAGGACACTCTTGTTGCTCACTCTGGTGAAGAGCTCTTGTGGGATATTTGGAGACTAGATACACCCCCGCCAATCACCCTGCTCCTCAGCGACACGCCGCGTTTACACCAGCACGCTTTCCTTCCCCCAATGGCACGGACTGCTTCCCATATTGCATTTGTACTACAAAGTTGCCGCCACAGCTCCCAGAAACTGCTTCCCGCACTACATTTGCACTACAGAGTGGTCAGTTCTCAGGCCAGCGCCAGAAGCTGTTTCCCTGCGCTACCAAGCTTCCGTCCAAACAAGCTTCCCCAACTGTCAGGGAATGATTTCAACACTTTCTGAGTCCACCAAAATTGCAATTTTAGCTGACACTTGTCATGAAAACACGGCTTCGAAGCAACAGCCTGAAACGCAAATCCTACTGTCACAGCCGCACCCGTTACGCCAGCATGGACCCCAGATAGCAAAAACAATTCTGTGGACAATCCGCAGAGGCACTCTGCTCAGCGGTGCCAGCACCCGAAATTCAAAGCGCACAGGGCAAGAGGCACGTCGCAGCAGCAATGCCGAGCGACACCCTGCAGCGGCACCAACCTCCAACGCGCACCGAACCAGCACCCACGGTCACACATCCCAAGCGCGCACCCGGAAGCTCCTCCAGAACCTGCTCCAGAACCTCCTACGGAACCTGCCCCGGACCTGCTCCAGCTGCTCCGGAACTTCCTCCGGAACTGGCTCTGGACCTGCTCCGGACCTTTCTCCGATCTCAGAACCCCCAAAGCTTCGCTGTTGGGGGAAAATAGTTGGGATAGAACTCGCCAAGGGACCTGTGTCCGCTTCTTGGTATTCTTTGATTTGGTCGCCGGCCTTTGATTTGTGACAATGGAAGCAACCAATGGACACGCACATGACGCACATGTACAGCACTGCTCTGCTCTATTGGAGTTTCGGCACCATGGCAAAGCACAAATGTCACCTACATAAGCGTCACAATATGTCCAAGCCCTCGTTTCAATTACACCCTGACCACACCCGATCCTGGCCTTGCAAGCTTGTCCTTCCGAAGTACCATGGCTTCAGAAAGGCACCAGCTGGTCCGTCTTGCAGAGTTTTGCCCATGTCTGCGTGTGCGTTCAATGAACTCAGTATTCCTGACTTTCACTTCCTGGTCGATCAGTTTCATTTACGTAGCGGCTGCTTCTTTGTTGTTCGGTTGGTGGGATTGAAATGCTTTCAGACGTCCTCAATGCAAAAATGTTCAAGTCAAGTCCTGCATCAAGCGAAGCCATCATCACTTCCCAAAGCTCTCAAACCACCGCAAAAGTCTAGCTCCAGCTGCTGTCGACCAAAGAACTCCCTGACCAAAGGCTTGAACCATGCACCTTGGCTTCTCGCTCAGCAGCTTCAAAACTGCTGGCCACCTGCAATCACAGCTTGGCTGAAGAGCCCATTCGGCTTCAAACCCAGCTGCAGAGTTATTTGATCTCATATGGCCATCATGGCACCCCTACAATTACAGTAGTTGAGTTCGCGGTTTTGACTTATGCTGGGCTCTGAAACTTGAACCTATGAGTCCCTATCAGCCATCATCAGCCATCTATAATCCTGCCTGAACACCCTCCATGCAGCTAATTTTCTTCAGTGCAAACTTCTCTCCTGTCCTGACACGCAGCTGGAGAAACTATGTTGAAGCTGATGCGTACATCGATCACTGCGCCAGGTCCCAATTTAGTGTCACTTGAGCTCTCCACATCAATACTCTGCTGAAAATGGTGACTGCTCTGTCTCCGTCCTGTTGCAGGAGACCTTCATGACCGCACCGAAAGCACCTTCCGCCAGGAAGGCCACCTGTCAGGCTCAACAGTTTGCGAAGGAAGCAAGAGGTGTTTGTAGCAAAACCAAATTTGACACGACAGCACCAGTGAAGCCTATAATATGAAAAGTGTGCATGTGTTTGCGAATGATATATATAGCGCTGGCGCCGGCGCAGGTGCTCTGTAGAGACAGGGTTTCAGAGCTGGCGCCGGTGTTGGGCGCTGGCGCCGGTTCTGTGAACTGGCTATGTGCACTTGCAAAACAGAGTGTAGGCGTTGGTGTCAGCCGGCTGCGCTCGAGACAGAGTGTCGATGCTGGTGCAGGTGCTGGGCGCTGGCACCAGTGCTGTGAGCTGGTTGCGCGATGCCGACGGCGTGTCAGCTGCCTGGCTGATGGCGCTGGTGTGCTGGTTGCGCACTACTGGTGCGCCCTGGTGGCTGGCACCGGTGCTTTGAGCTGTCTGCCCACGCACTGGCGCCGGTACTGGTATCACCTGCTGCTGACACACGGCACAGGTGCTCGCGCATGGTGCCTGTGAAGCCTGGAACTGTTCTGTGTGTGCCCATATTTTTGTATGCGTATATTTTTACAGGCAACATCATATTCCGCTGCTTGGCCTATACTTATACGCGCAGCATCATAATGTTTTTATCGCTTTGATTGGCCAATACATGTACTGGAGCAGCATCTTCAAGCATGGAGTTCGTTGAAACGTGAGTCTGATGCATGCTGCTTGAAAGCAGAGCAGCGCCGTGTTTCCAATAGGCTGGCTCTGCCTTGGCCTTGCTCTTGCTATGTTTGCTCGCTTCAGCGTGATGTTTGTGTAGCTTAGGGGCTGTACTGTTTGCGTAGTAATTCCCCAAACAGCATGGGCACACTGAGGGGTCTTACGGTAGTGGAAAAGCAGGTGTGCTTAGATCGCTGTGCGTCGCGGCCGTGTCCGGCTAATTCGTTGCTACATCGTCCATGTGCATTTCGACTGCGCAGGCTCGCAGAATCTGGGCGCCTGCGGCGGGTGCTTCTAACGACTGCGCTCCCGTTGCGGTGCCGTGCGCATTTTCGCACATGGTGATAACTTTTCATGGCAGGCGCCTCTCACTCTCATTCACACTCGCACTCACACTCACTCACTCTCACCCACACTCACTCGCACCCACCTTCACTCTCACTCACACTCACACACACTCACACTCACTCACACTCACACTCACACTCACTCTCATTCATTCATTCATTCATTCATTCATTCATTCATTCACTCTCACTCCCACTCCCACTCTCACGCTCACGCTCACGCTCACTCTCACTCACACTCACACTCACACTCACACTCACTCACTCTCCCACACTCACTCACCCACCATCAGTCTCACTCATACTCACCCTCACTCTCACTCACACTCACTCTCCCCTCTCACCCACACTCACTCTCCCACCTTCAGTCTCACTCATACTCGCACTCACTCTCACTCTCACTCACACTCACTCTCACCCACACTCACTCTCACTCACACTTGCACTCACTCACACTCTCACACTCGCACTCACTCACACTCACTCTCACTCTCACCCACACTCACTAACACCACACTCACTCTCACTCACACTTGCACTCACACTCACTCTCCCACTCTCACTCACACTCACACTCACACTCCCTCTCACCCACCTCACTCACACCCACCTTCACTTCATCACCACCATCACCTCTCTGGACCCCAAGATCTCTAGACTTTCTGCTTACAGACCTCACACACACTGTTTGGGGTCTCTTGCCGGGATAATTTTTGTAGGGATATAGTTGTACGCACAACAGGATGCGCGCATGTCTTTTGTATGGACATACTTTTCCCGCAACATCATATTGCTTTCGTCGGGGCAACACATATGCTGGAGCAGCATCTTTATTATTCTATGCGTTTCGAAACGTGAGTCTCCCCACTAGTTTGCCTGTATGATTGGCGTTTGTTGGTCACTGGAAGAATTCCTCTCTGCAAAGTTGAATTTATCTCTGTGGAGAACTTCGAGAACACCTCCATAAGTGCAAAAAGACGTTTTTTGCAATACAGAAAACATTCGTGAGGAATGGATGTTTTGCGCAAGAAAACTAACTCAATGAAAGAGTTTGGAAAAGAGAATAGCATGTATAGAATGTTGTTGTTGCATTCAGGGAGGGGAGTACAAAGGACTGGCCGAAACTTTAGAAAGCCAAGAAGTATGCATGTATGTATGCTTTAAGAAGCAAAGAGGAGATCCCATATCAAGACGCAGCTGTAAACTGATTTTTCTTGCATTTCCTGTCACGTAGTCCCATCCAATTAGAATTGCATCACTCGCATCACCAGACCACCAAAACCATACATACACGTTCACTACTTCCCCCCTCTGCCTCTTTTTGGCCCTCCCCCGGTCGCACCCCCCACACACTCCCTATACTCGCTTCGTTCGCCCATCACCATGTTGTTTTCTTGTACAGTATCTAAAAATTAATTCATAAAATTGTCTGAAAAGCATATGCCGTGATATGCCATGATGGTGAAAAGCCTAGTACCATCGCGTGCACACGCACGAACTACCACCCACCGGCAACAGAAACAACAACCCTTATGCCATTGATGGCATGCGAAGCTCTACAACAACATCTGCAACAACAATTGCACCCTTGTTTCCATGATATTTCGTCCATGCCTTTCAAAACCTTTGGTCCCCCAATCCCATTCCGGAAGTAAAACTCCCTGCCTCAGTCACCTCCCGCGCAGGGGCGCCATTGACACCCTGCAGCTGGTGGGTTTCTGCTGAGAAGCTGGCCGCAGTGGCCGTCACATTGCCCAGGTTCTCCTGCACCGTCAGCTGTGGTTGTTGACCAAAATCTACAGTTTGGAACCATCGGCAACTTCTCCTTTGCTTTCATATGCTTGCAATGATGTTGGTGCCCAACAGAAAACTACAGTAATTTTCATGTGGCTTCTTGTGTCCAACCAAACTCCTTCCCAATGCCGCCCTTCTACCTTTCCATGCAGCTTCAACGGGCCCGTCCTTCACCGATTTCTTCACTTCCTTCACGCCCGAGCGGATGGAGGCTGCTGCCTTAGAGGAGCACTAAACACTCGCAGGAGCAACAACAGCTTACACTGACCTCAGTAGACCCATTCTGCGCAGTTGTGGCCGATGATTCGGGCAACTGTTACTGCATGATGCAGTCCTACCAACTCAACCGCTTTTGTAGTTTTAGCCCGCGGCCCTGCCTCCTTACTTAATTAAGTAGGCGCCTACTTAATTAAGGAAGTAAGCTCCTAGCTACTTAAGCTGCGTACTATATACATAGGGACGCAGGATAGCTCACGCACTAATGATTTGGCTCCTACATTTTTTGGGACTTAACATGGAAACTTCAAGTCTCCCAGCCGCTGCAGCAGCAGGGCCCAGTTGCTCAGACGCCTGGCCTGCCGGAACAAGCGGAACACTTATATGCCACTGCTGCCAAAAGCACGTCCCACTTTTCACTTTTCTACAGTGTCTGTGTCAAACTCATAGCATCGGCGCATGCAACGGTGATGAAACTTGCTCCACACCAAGAAGTCAAAGCGGTGAAGGTCAAAACTGGGTTGGGTATGCCTCCACCTTGGTTTTCAATGTGTCTGGGTCTGGGTGAGACAAGTGTCCACGAACAAGCAAAATGCTTCACTTTAAGCTTTGACATCTTTAAAAGTGTCTTTATCGTCATTTTCGTGGGAGAGGTGGCGGTATTTGCAGCACTTCGGGGCTGTGGGTGTCAGATGTAGACTTCAGCACTGGCAACAGCATGCTTGACATCCCTTTGATCCCAAGGCAAGTTCATTTCACTGTAAATGACACGTAGACAAGGCCAAGCGGCAAGCATAAGATACCATCCCGTGCATTTCACCCACGTCGCATGTCTGGGATAAAGTGAATCCTAGAACTGTTGGAGGTCAACGTCCACAAAACCTACGTTGAAATCTCCACGGAGAAGGTGTTGGAATCCGCGTAACCGCAGCACCTCATCAACCCCAAAATCTATCCTTCCCAACAAAGCACACATGTGGCAAGGTCCACAAATGGTCATGAATGTGCTTGGAGCATGGGCAAAACCATGTAGGCCAGCACGAGATGCATTCCCTGGCCTAAGAGATTGCTTCCCCAAGAGCTCAAGCCCTGGCAGGCAGGAAGAGATTGGAGGGAATTCCTCGAGAACAGTGTTGAGAAGCTTTGCTGCAAGCAGTTCAACCGTTTCGACGTTGCATTCCAAATGCTTGGCTTAGTAAATGTGGACATGATCCACAAGCAAGTTATATAACTTCCTGTCATTTGCCTGGCAACTCTTTTTGTGTCTGATCCAAGCCGTATGGCATGGATGGAGGCTTTGACCGACACCAAGGAATGGTTTGAAGATTGACATTCCGGCATCTTGAGGTGCAAAGGCCTGTAAAAAACTGTGACGCAAAGCCTCTCGCTGTAAAATTTGGTTTGATTGACAGGTCAGAAGCCTTGAGCCAACCTTGCTTTCTGAAGGTTGCTCTCGTACGGATCTCAGCCCCGCGACCCCCTTGGTCTGGGCCGAGCACCTTACACTAAGGGCCCTATGCAAAACGCAGGTATGCTGCTGTTGCGAGGTGACTCGAAATGTTAATGCAAAGTCATGATTGGGTAGATGCAAACTCAAAGGATCCTCAAGATTCAAGATGCTCCCCCACATACGAGCTCTTCCCAATTCGCTCGCTCAGCACCTGTATCTCGGATAAATTTGTTAAGCGCCCCGACAAGAGCTTTGAATGCTATCAACTCATCCAACAAAAAACTGTTCACAAACTTTACAAACTTCATAAGCCTTGGAGCAAGAACGCTACTAGGGGCTCCTGGCATCGCTACTAGGAGCAAGAAGTTACTAGGGGCTCCTGGCCTTACTACTACGACCAAAGACGCTACTGGGGTTTTGCTTTGAGCCTCATCAGACTGAACCGCTTCTTCTCCCGCACAAGGAGGACCAAACTCGCAACTGCTTCTGTTTCTTTGATCACCTGCTTTTGAGATGGTGGAAAAGAGGAAGGCTGCAATAGTGGTCTTTGTTGATGCGATCGGATTGTTCCAGCACCAACAACTGCTTAGCAGTTTTGATCCACCGATCTGCGGCAAGCATGTCTAGGGTTACCTCACCAAAAGTTGACAAATTGATGAGCCTTCAAACATATTCAAAAATTGACATTTCGTGACGCGTCAGAGGAGGTCAAGAGTCTGGAATGACTGGGCAAAACGATTCAACCTTCTACATGCTTCGCCAACGGTCAGACGCCCCGGTGTCACACTGACACCGCCGGCAGTCCCGGGAGTTCCACCTCATCGTGCGACTCGGGCGTCGCAGGCTCCTCATGTGCATCTCTTCGGCGCCTGACGCGAGGCGAAAGTGATGTGAATCCATTGAGGAACTGCTTGGCCTTTGTTACTAGTAGCTTCTTGTTCCTAGTAGCGATGGCCTCCACCTAATGGTGTCCTTGCTACCAGTAGCTGGGTTCATAGGAAGCAGTTCAAGGAATCTTCTGGCTGGGCATCACCATGACAGGCTCTTCGTTGTCTCAATCATAAAGCGACGGACCTCCGCAGCTTGTGCAGAAGATAGAAGAGGGGAAGGCTGAAGTAGGTCAGCACAGCACCATAGGGGGTCGGCAGCATCCGCGCCCAACAGACGTGGAAGCAGTAGGCGTACCTGGGTCGATTCGTAATCCCTGAGACAACAAGAGTAGGATGCTATCATCCCACCCTCCCTCCAAAGAAGCGACAGTCTCGAGGCTCGACGTCAAGACCTTTTGTCGGTTGTCCTGCTGACTCTCAGTTTCTCTTCAAACTGTCAGCAGTGATTCCTGCTTCAGCTGTTCATTCGAACTTGCCCTTTCCAACCTCACAACCATATGTGTGACACAGGTGTGGGTGGGTGGGTAAACAAAGGGCTGGAACCTGACATCCCGGGCTGGAGCCCAGGCTGAGGTAGGGATTTCTTCCCACCCTCCCTCCTTTAACATCTATATATTCTCTTTTATGTCTATCAGTTCATTCTGAACTTCTTCGACAACAAGAGTAGGTCATCCCACCCTCCCTCCAAAGAAGCGACAGTCTTGAGGCTCGACGTCAAGACCTTTTGTCGGTTGTCCTGCTGACTCTCAGTTTCTCTTCAAACTGTCAGCAGTGATTCCTGCTTCAGCTGTTCATTCGAACTTGCCCTTTCCAACCTCCATGGCTCCGCCGCAAGTTCTTCTGAGACACTTTTTGCATTTCCGTTGCGTGATGTTCAGCTGGGAGTTGAGGATCACTTTTGATTTCGGCTAAAGGGCCAGCCGCACACAGACGTCCAGGTCTCTATGGGCACGTCCCAACCAGCTTCTTCCACTTGGTGCCATACGCGTTCTCTTGAGTTGTATGCAGTCGAAGCAACCCAAAGTTTCTTGGGGAGTTCGGTGACCACCACTTCGCATTTCCCCCTGTCGTTGGGGGGATCCTCCGCCTCAACATTCTTCGTGGCTGAACCTGCAGGAGGTCCCGAACCCATAGGGCGCTCACGCTCCAGGTCTTCCTCTCGGCTCTTTGGCTGCTTCTTGGTCTTGGGCGGCTCGACCAACCTCAAGTTTTTGTTGGCTGGTTCGGACTGAAGCGCATCTTCCGCATACGTCAGCACCACTGATGATCTCCATCGGCCCAAGAACGCCAGCTCCTGTATGGGCATACCTAACCTCACGTATCCCATGGCTCCCGACCTTCTTGCCGAGTGACCTTGGATGTTCTCTGAGGTGACCATGGCCCAGCCTTCCACCATCTTCGCCTTGGAGAGCTTCTTGCCTTGCGAGTCCTGGAACACGAACTCATGAGGCTCCTTCTCAGCTCCACGAAGAGCTTTCCACATCTCTGTCCATAGTCTCCATGGGCACCATCTGTAACAGGTCTTGTTGTTGCAGCACTGCAAGGTTCTGCGAGCTGCCAAGCCCTGCTGATCGCACTTCGAGACGGGGATGTAGATGGAGACCCTTCTTCTGTTCCAGTCCGCTGAGATGTCCTTCCATTTCATGGCGCTAACTTCAATTTCTCTCAACATCCAAACCACTGCCCAAGCATAAGCCAGCGCTGGTCTGATGGTTCTCTTTGGGCCCTTGCAGGTGAGGATCCATTTGAGGTACTCAATATCATCAAGCTTGAATTCTGGCGCTCTTTTCACCGGGCCTCGGTCTCTCTTCAGCGATCGTTTGCAATCTGCTATGGCCTTGCTAGCTGCGGGTTCACCTCCCAACCTGCCTTTGAGGCTGCCTCAATGCGCATCAACTTCAGCTCATTGATGTACTGGTCTCCCGATGACCAACCCACAGCCTTGATCGCCGCCGCCACGTTTTCAATGGTCTCAATGGCCAAGGGGAAGACGTCTTTGTTCCGCTCACAAGCCTCCCTGGCCATGGTCCTTTGCGAGGCCCTCGACGACTTAGCCATGAAGCCCTCTCAGCTCACGTCTGGCTTGGGCCAACTTCTCCTTGCCCTTCAAGACGTTCATGACTTCTTCAAACGAGCCTTTCCTGGCGGCTACATTCTGTACCCTTCCTGCTTCATCATCTCGTTCTCTGACTTCTGCTGGCTGCGTGTCTCGCTTTGATTGGCGTTGCTCACCAAATGGTTAGCATCTTTACGCATTCGATTCTGAATTAAACCACTCATGCAGTTCTGGGGGCCCTCCGCGGCAAATCCCATCACCCCCCAAGCTCTTTTGGCGCTCATTGAATGCGGGATCCACGTCGCAGCATTGGGCCCGGTCCCACTCCACCAAGGCGGTGCATGTCTTGTAAATCCTGAACCACGGGCTGTGTGCTCGTTGCACCATTGCTTCTACGATCCGGGTTTGAGCTTGTCGAGCTTCTGGAGACTTCCCTGATAATTCCTGCGCCCACTCTCTCCTGGGATGCCTCTCTGGAGTAGCGCTGACTTGCCTCTTCTTGGAACATTCCCTCCTTGGTGACCAACATCTTCCTGGTATCTCTGCATCTTCTGTTTTGCCACACTGCATACATGTCTTCTCCAACGTCTCAGCGCCGATGGAAGCCTCCGCCTTTCCCTCTCTACCTGGTTTCCGCGGAGTGAAAATCCACCACAGCGCTGTCCACAGGCCCTTCAGGAGGCCCAGCACAAAGAAGCCCCACCCAGCGATCACCGCAAATTCGCCGTAGAACCACTGAGTCGCGCTGTCCTCAGCGACCAGGGTGTCAGTTGGCCTCACCATCATTTGAGCCATCATGAGCTCTCCCGGCGAATGAACGAGCATCGGGCCTGATCCAGGCGAATCGGGTTCACGAGTACGTCGAACCTCACACCTCCGTGTGACATGAACCAAACCTCCAACCTCGTACCTCGCCCCGCCCCCCCTCAAGCCGAGAATGATGGGCGAAACTACTTTTCGCCCTCATCCCTTCAAAGCAGCTCGAAGGCTCCGGAGACCTGCTGCGCGGTGGCTCCCCACAAATTTGGGGCCACACCTGGTGGTGACAGGTACGATCGATGCATCAAGTTCCTTGGGAACGATTTGATCGGTACCTTGACAAGTCTCTCAGGCTTTGGTCCTCGTTCATGGGGTCGCGAAAGCCAGTCCGCCTCTACGTTCCAGTTTGCTGGGATGCGCTGGGTCACCACACGCTTGATGCCGCGCTTGTCAAACCGGATGGCCAACACTGCCCCCACCCAGTTCACCACCGGCGATGGCGAAGACAACCTCTGCGTCATAGCCAATGCGACTACGCTGTCGCTTCGCAAGACGATGCTCTTGTTTTCCAGCCTGGCTGCCCATCTGCGCACCGCCAGCTTGACTGCCCATGCCTCCAGGGGGCCTTGAGATGCTGAGTCATTCCAAGGCACGCCGAGCCACTTGGCGTCCGCTTCTTCCAGCTGTATCTCCAGCCCCTCCAGGATCGTAAAGGACGGCCCCATGTTGTTGTCCACCGTCGCCAACAATGCACCAATCCCCTGCGGGCACTTCTGCTTGCTGTGGCTCCTCCGGCGAGTTGGGTGGGAGCCCATAGATGTGTTGCAGAGACCTGACAGGGGGCGGTCCACGATTCACCATGTTCCATCTTGCCCTGCTGAACGTGTTGCATGGGAAGCCCGCGTGGCCCGCGTCAAAGGCTGACGCTTCAGCT